TTTTTTTTTTTTTTTTTTTTTTTTTTTTTTTTTTTTTTTTTTTTTGGTATCAGGGATTGAACTCAGGCCACCGAACCTCTGAGCTAAATCCCCGGCCCCCGTACATCAGGATCTTGAGGGCTGCTTTTCACAATACCCTGAAGCCCCCACCAAGTGGGAAGTTCTGATTTGATTGGCCTGGGGTTGCTAGGGGCAAGTGGGTCTCACAAGCCTAGCGTGCCAAGCCGGTCCTGGAGAAAGCAAGATCCAGGCTTAGCTGCAAGCCAGCTGCCTGTGACTTTGGGTGAGCTGGGCATTGCTAGTGTGTGGCACCCGGACCCTCCCTGGGCTTGGTTGCAGAGCCTCCCGCGTGCCTTGAACTCGCAAAGGTTCTCACGTCAGCCTAGGAGCACTGTGTCCTGGGAGGGTGGGGGCTCATACAGGTCACCCCGTCGCCTCCTTTGTCACTGGCCTCCTGTCCTTCCAGCAAGGACCTGGCCTGGGGGATCATGGAGTGGTCCTGAACAGGTGACAGAAAGCTGGAAGCATTGTCCCTTCTGTATATGTCTCCCCAGCTTTGTGACGACAAACTGTGCTCTGCAGTTTTCGTCCCGTGGAATCCGGCCTGGCCTCACCACCGTCCTGGCTCGGAACCTGGACAAGAATACAGTGGGCTACCTGCAGTGGCGGTGGGGGATCCAGTCAGCCATGAACACGAGCATCGTGCGTGACACCAAGACCAGCCACTTCACGGTGGCCCTGCAGGTGCGCAGACATTCACTGAGGGCCCCGTGTCCTGGGGAGTGACGGGCATGTAGACAGGCTGCTTCTCAGGTGTCCGTGTCCGTGTCTGGTCCACCGTAAGGCAGAATGGCACCTTAACATCCAGTCAGGAAGCCCACATGGGCTCGCCAGAGGCAGAAGGGGATGCTGGGTGCGCTGTGACCAGGAGCAGCTGCCCCGCCCACCACCGAAAAGAGAGGGCGCCAGTGTCAATTTTGTTTTTCAAGAAGCTAGAAAGTGGTTTCTGTGTGGATTGCCAGTGTGTATGTTTTTGACCTAGTCTCTTTTTCTCAATGTTCTTATTAGTATATTTGGCACACATAGTAAATCCATTCTTCATGGGAAATTGGTACATACACGTCACCTTTTTTTTAAAGCAAAACCTTTATTGGTCCATTTTAGACACACATAATAACGCCCATTCTGGAGAACTTGTGCTGTATGTGATGCTTCTTGTTTCTTTTGTTCCATCTCTCTTCCCTGCCTTCAATCCCTCTTCCCTTCCTTACTTACAAAAGCACTGTTTCCATTTTTCCCTTCTGTTCTTTTTTCTTCATGTCCCTTCTTTCCTTTCCCCCTCCCTGCTCCCTTGTTCCCCTTCTCATTTGAACATTTTCTTCCCATTTTCTAATATCTACTGTACATTGGTCCTCGTTTCTGCTTTCGGTTCCTCACACCGGAGAAACAGTGTGGCATTTAAGACTCACGCGTCACACCCTGAGCTTGTGTGGGTGCCGTGCCTTTCCCTAACTGCCAAGCATAAAGGGCATGCCCAGTGGGCTCCTAGAGCCGGGCCGGGCTGCGGACACCAGGTCCTGTCCCTGTTTCCTCAGCTGGGGATCCCTCACTCCTTCGCACTGATCAGCTACCAGCACAAGTTCCAGGATGATGACCAGACACGGGTGAAAGGCTCCCTTAAGTGAGTCACATGGTGGGCTGGCGGGCCGTGGGCAGCAGTGGCCTGGGTGGTGGCGGGAGGGACAAAGGCGTGGATGGGCACATTCTGCTCCTGCAGGGCAGGCTTCTTCGGGACAGTGGTGGAGTATGGAGCCGAGCGGAAGATCTCCAGGCACAGCATCCTGGGCGCAGCCGTGAGCATCGGTGTCCCGCAGGGCGTCTCTCTCAAGGTCAAGTAAGTCAGCCTCCCCCAAGGGTTCCCCAGGATGGTGTGGGCACCACCTGCTCTCTCGGCTTCTTACACAGACAGGCGGGGAGCTAGGGCAGTCTTGTCCACCCATCTCCATCATAGAACTAGGTGACCAGTGACCACAGCCCCAGCCTGCCCTGCAGATGGCCTTGCCACACAGGATGCTCTCCTAGCCTCCCGGAAGCAGCCTTTCTCAGGCATCAGAGGCACCCTCCACCCACTGTGGGCTGATCAGGGTGCAGCCTGCTCCTGTGTGCTGTGGCCTCGGTCCATGGTCAGTTCCCTCACCTTGCAGCTTCCCTGGCTGCACTCTAGCTCAGAAGTCCCAGGCTGGTTGAGTGGCTCGATTCCCAGGCTGCTACCTGGAGCCCCTGGGGCACAGTCTCCACCTGGGCCCGCTCTAGGGGCCTTCCAGCCTCCTTCTGACTCCCAGTACCCTCAGGCGCTGCACTGCCTGGAGATCCTGGACCCCGAGTCTCCAGCCTGTCGTGCAGACCGAGGGTCCACATCTGTAGAATCAAGCAGCCCCCAGCTCAACGTGCACGGAGCCAGGCATCGTGGCACATCATGTGGTGTCACTGTAATCCCAGCTCTGAGGAGGCAGGAGCAGGGGGATTGCTAATTCCAGGTGACATAGCCACACCTGTCTCAGATAACAAAAAAGCTAGGTTTGGTGGCACAGCCTGCAGTCCCAAGACTAAGGCTGATGTCAGAGGACTCCAAGTTTGAATCCCTTTTCAGCAACTCATCGAGACCCTGTTGCAAAAGAAATAAAGGACTAGGGGTACGGCTCGGTGCTAGGGCACCCAGGTTCCATCCCCATTGCTGCCAGGGAGAGAAAGGAAATGGTTTAAGAGGGAAACTGCACTGTACTGAACGTGTGCAGGCCTCCTCCTTACCGCTGTTCCCTAATCGAGACAGTGTGGCATCTGTGTCACGTCTGCAGTGACCGGTGGTGATGGGAGGATGTGTGTGGGTTCTGTGCACCACAGACTTTGGGATTCAGGGCCAGAGACTCATTGCCCTGCATTCCCTGACAGACGCTTTCACCTCAGCCTGGGGCCACCTCAGGTGTCACCTGTCACTGATCTAGAACAGCCCGGGTCCCTGCTCATCTCAGGGAAGAGAGCTGCAGCTGCCCGTGGCACCACACCTGGCCATGGTCCTGTTGGCTCTGACGGAGCAGGATCCCAGGGGATGCCCGTCAGTCTCAGACCGTGGCACCCCTAACTCTGCTCCGTGAGTGGGGACCTTCAGTTCACTGCGCCTGTCGAGGGGTGGAGCCCGTGAGGCCGGGTCAGACCCTACCACAACAGAAACATTCCCTTCAGTGGCCACTTCAGGGCAAAACTGAAGTCCCGACTCCCCTACATGCCCTCGGGCTCAGATCTGAGAGGCAGTGACCCCGCGGCCAGTGCTTGGACTCAGGGGCAGCTGAGAGCGGCCGCCACCAGCTGCCCTCCCTCTCCCATGAGCCGGGGACATCCAGGATGAAAGGGCCCGCAGAGCTTCTGGGGTCTCTGCGCGGACTCCACGCTTCCCTAACCTGGGATCGGCCTGGAAGGCCTGTTGGGAGGAGGTGTTTCTGCGGGGCTCTGTGGCTTCGACATCAGTTGTCCAGAGGGCACAGATCTCGGAGCTTGGGTCACCTACACATGCACAACGAGCTGTCTTGGGAACGGCCCAGCTCTAGGCGGTCCCTTCACACCATGCACATGGCCACAGTCACTTTGCATGCTATTTCTAGCACACTTGTGTTTTTACTTCCACCTGTCTCGGGAGGTCAGGTGAATTTCCACTTGGGCTGTCACATTAGTGCTAAGAAGTTTCATATTTTGAAACATTCTGGGTTTTCGATTAGGGATGCCCCACCTGAGTCAGCCAAAGCTCGGCCAGAAGGCACCGGAGGACAACAGTAGACAGTCATACTTTGCAGACATTGTTCCTGTATTTCATTTATTTGATGAGTCACATGAAATGTTTAACCTTAAACCATTACAACTAGGCACAATGGGGCACGCATGGAATCCCAGCACTCTGGGAGGCTGAAGCAGGAGGACCACAAGTTAAAGCCCAGCCGAAGGAACTTAGCAATTTAACAAAACTCTTAAAATTAAGAAAATAAGGGGCCATAGACCAGGGATTGTGGCTCAGTGGTGCCACACCTTCCTTGCAAGCTCAAGGTTCAGAGTTCAGTCCCTGGTACTGGAAAGAAAAGAAAAGGTGTGGTGTGATGGTGGTGCACACCTGTAATCCAAGCACTCAATAGGCTGAGGCAGGAGGATTGCAAAATTCAAGGCCAGCCTGGGCTCTATAGTAAGTTCAAGGCCAGGCTGGACTATATTGTGAGACTGACTCAAAGAAAAACAACATAAAAAATAAATGCAGGGTGGGGATTTATCTCAGTGACACTGTGTGTGCCTCAAAAGCACAAGGTCCTGAGTTTGATCCCCGTTACATCAGGATGGGGTGTTAACCTCAGTTGCAGTGTGGCGGTACACAGGGAGGCTGAGGCAGGAGGATCGCTCGAGCCCAGGAGGTTAAGGCTAGCCTGTGCAACAGAGCAAGACTAGCTTGAAGAGTGAGGGAAGTCTTTGTGTAGGGCTGAGTCCCAGCTGCTCTTCAGACAGCACCCAGCAGGAACTGCCCAGCTTCCATTTGCTAGGGTCTGACTCTTCAGACTTCTTGGGAATGGTGATGCTGGGGTCCATTGGTAGAGGCCAGGGGGTCATGTCATCACCCATGCTATCTATCCCCAGGCTGAACAGGGCCAGCCAGACCTACTTCTTCCCCATCCACCTGACCGACCAGCTGCTGCCCAGCGCCGTGTTCTATGCCACCGTGGGGCCCCTGGTGGTCTACTTTGCCATGCACCGCCTGGTCATCAAGCCGTACCTCAGGGCACAGAAGGACAAGTGAGTGACTGAGACAGCAGGGCCATCACAGCGGTCAGGACGCGCAGACCGTGGGGCACGATATCTGGGTCCTCAGGGTGCTCTGTGACCGTCAGCGGCAGCAATATATATGTAATCCCACTTTCAGAAAGGACTAGAGTCCACTTAAAAATTAAGTTCTGGGCCAGGGACTTGGCTTGGTGCCGCCGCCTGCCTCACAAGTGCAAGGTCCTGAGTTCAATCCATGGTAGCAGAAAAAAATTGAAATTCTAGTGTAGGAATGGTGGCGAACCTTTGCGATCCCAGCACTCAGGAGACGGAGGCAGAAGGATCACAAGTTCAGTCCAGCCTGGTCTCAAGGACTTGGTGAGACTGTCTCAAAGTAAAAAGCACTGTTGCTCAGTCCAGAAGCCCTAGGTTTAGTTTCTAGTACGAGGGGGAAATTTTCAAACTAAACCATGACCACAAGAAGTAATGTTTTCAGCCCAGCACGGCAGAAAACAAACTCCCCACTGCTTAGGAGGATTAGGAGGAGGATTAAAGGCTCAAGGCCAACCTGGGCAACTTAGCCAGGCCCTGTCTCAAGATAAGAAGTGAAAGGGCCTGGGGGGTGTGGCTTAGTGGTGGAGCACCTGGGTGTTCCGTCTGGGTGCCACCCCCAAAAGGAGAGGGCCAAGCGTTCCTTTCTCACCCTGACAGTATTTCTCCTGCATAGAGGGGTGGGTTCCTGCTCCCAATTATTCACAGTCCCTGGGAGTGATCTCGAGGCCCCTCTTAGTGACATGAACCCCGCTGTGATGGGAGCATGTGGGGCTCTCTGAGACCTCCTGGGACACAGCCTAGAGGACCTGGCAAGGAAGCCCCCTGGCTTCTGGGTTCCTGCAGTGCAGGGCCCTGTGCCACTGGAAAGCCCGTGCTGCTGTTCACCGACCCGGCAGGCTGCTGGGGTCCGGGACCCTGGCCGGGGGGTCTCCCCAGGGATGACGCAGTGGGGTGAAGAGCCTGGGCCTGCTTGGGGGGCAGCTTCCGCCAGGGTCCAGCATAGTGCAGATGGCCCACCGCAGGGTGACACCATGCTCACGTGTGGCTTTGCTTCTCTGTGGAAAGGGAATTGGAAAAGCAGAGGGAAAACACTGCCAGTGACATCCTGCAGAAGAAGCAGGAGGCAGAGGCTGCTGTAAGTACTCATCCTTGTGCCTGTCACGGGGCTTGCTCTGCCATCCCCTCCACTCACCAGAGGCGCTCCTCTGCCTGCAGCTTTCCGGCCACTGCTCTTCTCTTTCCCAGCAACCTCATTCACCATCATCCAGGGACACTATAGTGGAATCCTCAGTCAGTTCCTGTCCTGGAGGCAGGCAGCCCTCCCAAGGCGTAGCAAAGTTAAACGGCGACAGAGCCAGTGTGCTGCTGCGCCCTATAATCTCAGCATTCTGAGAGGCTGAGGCAGGACAGTTGTAAATTCACACCCAGCCTAAGCAATTAAGTCAGTCCCTGTCTCACAGAAACAAGGTGGGAGGTGTAGCTCATCCAGGGGACCTGGGTTCAATCCTTAACATCTTTAAAAGGTGTGGGGCCTGGGGATTTAGCCCAGTGGCACTGCACCTGCTTCACACGTGGAAGGTCCTGTGTTCGATCCCCAGTACCACAAAAACAAGAGGTATAATGCACGGTGCTCAGTTTCAGCACCGCAGAGAGCAAAAGTGGCCGGTGAGTATGGTCCCCATTTGCTTCCCTGCATGGGCAGGACAGCCAGAGACCTCTGGATAGCACTGGGGGTTGCAGGGGTGCCATGAGCAGGGAAAAGGCTGAGACCTGGGCAGGTTGTTGGGCAGCCAGGGGAGCCCTGAGGACCTGGTGCGGCTTCTCAGGTGCAGTCTCACAAATGGTGCGTAGGTGGTGACCCTCTGGTCACCAGCGTCCCCCCACTGCAGGACTGAGCGTCAGGCAGCCCTGCTCCCCCACGCTGCTTGTCTGGTCCTCCGCAGGTCCGTCTGATGCAGGAATCTGTCCGGAGAATCATCGAGGCCGAGGAGTCCAGAATGGGTGAGAAGGCGCCTCCCCGCTGGGTGGGCCCCGGCCTGGGCTCCCCTTCCCGGGAGCAGCCAGCGAGGAGGCCCCTGTGTCCTGCCCACTGTGCCCCCAGGGCTCATCATCGTCAACGCCTGGTACGGGAAGTTCGTGAACGACAGGAGCAGGAAGAGCGAGAAGGTGAAGGTGATCGACGTGGCTGTGCCGCTGCAGTGCCTGGTCAAGGACTCGAAGCTGCTCCTCACCGAGGCCTCCAAGGTGTGGCACCTGCAGTTCCCTGAACCTCCTTCCCTGCCCCACGGGGGTCTGGTCGCGCTGACCCTGGCCTCCCTCACTGTGGGGCAGGGGTGTGGGCGGGTGCAGGTGACCAAGAGGCATGTCTGCCGCAGGCAGGGCTGCCCGGCTTCTACGACCCGTGTGTGGGGGAGGACAAGAGCCTGCGCGTGCTGTACCAGTTCCGGGGCGTGCTGCACCAGGTGACGGTGCCCGACGGCGAGGCCCTGCGGATACCAAAGCAGTGTGAGTGGCGCCGGCCGGCAGCGAGCAGCGCAGGGGTTGCAGGTCACTGGCGCTGCCCAACAGCACATTGTGGTTTCCCTCACAGCTCACAGGATTGACACCGACACGGACGGATAAGCTGCTCAAGAACCTGGTTTCAGAGAGGCTTCGAGAAACCTTTTCCTGGGAGTCTACAAAATTGGAAGCAGGAGAACCCCAGAGATCAGATGTTCTATTTTATTTTATTCCTCTAGAAGGTGGTACCATATGAATTCTGTGCAGGGACACGCAGGCGCCACGGCACAGGTGCTGCAGGGAGGACTGGACCTGCGTCACCCTGGGCCGGGCATGGGCACTGGATCGCGTCCCTGGAGGGCAGGGTCCCCAGCCTGCGCCCTGCACATCGCCTGCCCCGAGCCGCTCAGGGGTGTTCTGGTCCTGCAAGTCCACACGGAGTGCAGGATCGGCGAGGTCAGACTTCCGGACCCCAGGCCCAGGCGTCTGCCAGGTGGATTCCCTCCAACCCCTTCCTCTGCCTGAGGACTGCGGTCTATAAAACTGCTTTTTACCTGAGGACGCGGGTTGGAGACATGTTTCTTCCTGCTCCAGAGCTTCCTGAATTATTCTTGGCCCGGGCTCGGACCAGAGTTGCCTGCTCAGGTCCCCTGCTGGCCCCAGCCATCACCCTGCCCTCCCGGGCACAGCATGGGCTGGGGTGACAGTGCCTCCCCAGGAAAGGGCAGGGCGTGCCCAACCCTGGTGTGGGCCCCAGGCCCGGGCAGGCACCACCATGAACAGCCCTCCGCTTCCAGTTTTCAAAAGTGGCCCAGGCTGACGAGTTCTGCCCTATTTATCTCTGTTTTTTAAATTAAAAAGAGAAAGTTTCTCTGCCAGCACAGCGACTGCCACATAGCCCCGTGCTTCATGACCTGAGGGGCGGCCGGGCTCAAGTGGCCCATGCTGCCACCCGGCACCCGCAATAAACGTCCTGAAAGCGAGCAGTACGATGGCATCTCTGTCCGCGTGCCCGCTGCAGCAGAGGACCCCATCTTCCCACAGCCAGGGTCGCCTGTGAAGCCTCTGCGTAGGACACCAGGAAGCCGGACAGGACCCTCAGTTTTTCTCACTTAATCCAAGTCAGTTTTTCTGTGGCCAGTCACACTGGCTTGTGCTCTCGCAGGAAATGGTTAGAAGTAAGTGAAGGAGGGCCGTAGTGTAGCCACGGCCATGCCCAGGAAGGTGGGCAGCTGTTGTCCCCCGGGGCTCAGCGTGGTGGCTCGGGCCGGGGGCCCCTGTGGGCCCGGAGGCGGCTGCACCCTCTGCGCATCACCAGCCTCCGTGCCTTCAGCTGCCTGCGGAGCCTCTCGTTCTCCCGTAGAGTGAGGAAGAGTTTTTTCTTCAGGGCAGCCAAGTCCAGAAGGGCGTAGCTGTGATCCCAGAGCTGCCTGGGTGGGGGCCTGCCTGGTCCTGGGCCACTGGCAGGTGCTCCAGGAGCTTCTGAGGTTCCAGGCCTTGGTAGCAAAGCCCAGGTCCCTGGGTCAATGTCACGGCCACCCTGCTCCTGGCACGGGGGCCGGGCACCTCCGTCTTGCTGGTGGCAGAGCCCACCCCGCTGTACCTGCAGTGCTGGGCTCCGCACACTGGGTGGCTGCAGCTCCTCAGGGGTGGCGTCCTCCCCAGCCCCCACCTCCGGGCAGACCTGGAGACAGCAGGCGGGTCAGCAGACACCAGACCGTCCACCCCCAAATTATCACTGCACGAGGGGCTGCCACCCCCGCACATCCTCCTCCCACCCCCAGAATCGGTGCAGCACAGGGAGAGGCACGGCACCAACATCCTGTGGGACAGGACCCTCGTAAGCGGAACCCTCGCCTCCTCCTGAGAGTCGGCCTCTCTCCTGCCCACAGGGCCCGCATCCTCCCACACCAACTGCAAGACAGTGGGGGTGGCCTCAGGCCTCTGTCCCCTCCATTCAGCGGCTGGGACACCAGCAAGTGTCCGAGTGAAACCATCCTAGCCCTGGCCCAGCTGCCTCGCTGCCCACCTGGTACCCCCTCTCCAAGATGTCCCCAAGTCATGGCTCAGAGCTTCTGAGCAGGTCTCACATCACCTCGCCCTTTGTGGGACACCATGAGGTGTGGCCATGGGGACCACAAGGGGCAGGTGTCCCTGGCCTGGGCCACCAAACTACGTACAGCTGTGTGACTGGAGTTAAACGACTCCGTCCATGCACACCCGTGCACATCCAGGCACCCAGCCAAGAACTTCCTGCTGTCACGGACACAAGGGCAGCTGAAGGTAGCCAGTGCCGGGTCACAGCGCTAGAAAGAGCAACAGCTGTGTGGGCGGGCAAGTGGACTCGGCTGGGACAGAGAGGCAAGGGACTGCAGTATGAGGGGCAGAGGCCGTGAGGAACACGCAGGTCCCAGGCAGGAAGTACTTTTGTTTTTCTTGGTTTTTTTGAGACCAGGTTTCGTTGTATAGTTCAGGCTGCCCTTGAACTCCAGGTGATCTTCCTGCCTCAGCCTCCCTAGCACTGGGGTCACAGGTGTGTACCACCACTTCTGGCCTCCCCCCCACATTCTGAACATGGTTTCTTCTCTTGCACTCACAGCTTCCCTTCTATCAGTCCCAAGAAAATCAGACATACCGTGCCCGCTGGTCTTGTGCTGCCCCACGGCTCATGTGCCGTCCACTTGGGTTGACACCATGTGGCCTCAGTGGCCACCTCCACACCCCCATCATAGTCTGGCTGCCTCTCAGCCTAGCAGATCTGCAAAGAGCACCCCTCTGCCTGCCGGTCTCTACCCCACCACAGCCGTGCCCGCCGGGGACACCATGGTGAGTGTGTCACATGGGCGCCACACCCTGCCTCTCTACCTACAGCTGCCCTGGGCCCCCCACAGCCACCTCACCCCTCTGCTGCCCCCAGCCTTTGAGCTGGGGCCCAATGCCAAGGCCCTGGCAGTCTTGCATCCTCTCTGCTGTCTGCTACCCACACCAAACAGGCGACACCAGGCGCAGCCCACGCTGGGACCTGAGCTCCGACTTCAGCCCCAGGTCCCAAGGAGGGAAGTGTTCACCACTGGGTACTGGAGCTAAGTCACCCATCCCCAGGCCTCACCGCCTGCCCCAATCACCCTGCACCCACCCTGCCCCCACCCTGCCCCGCTCACCATTCGCAGACCCAGCCCACGGTGCCCAGGGCCCCTCCTCCGATGTCCTGCCACCCCACCGGCCTCTGCCCAGGGCACACGCACGGCACCCAGAGGGGCCTGACCAGAAACACAACAGCACGACTTGATTTTTTCAAACGCCTGTCATCCCAGGACCAGGACCAGGGAGGCTGAGGTAGGAGGATGCTGTGAGTTTAAGGCCAGCCTGTGCTGCACAGTGAGACCCGATCTCAAACAACAAAGTAAGGACCAGGGAGTTAGCTCAGTGGCACAGCACCTGCTGGGCAAGAGAGAGGTCCTGAGTTTGCTCCCTGGTACCGAAGAAAAGAAAGTTTAAAAAAAAAAAGAAAGATGAAATCTCACTCTCTGGCCAGGCTGGCCTCAAACTCCTGAGCTCAGATAACCTTCCTGCTTCAGCTTCCTTTTTTCAGAAAAAAAGAAAAGAGCACATAAATTACAAAGTTCTCTTAGCGCACAGGACAGGGCCAGCGGGGCTGGAGGCCCGAGGCCCCCTTTGCTGTTCTCCCTCCTCCCCGGCCCGGCATGGCCCCTACCTGCGTGGGCTCCTGGAAGGCGAACACAGTGGGCACAGCATTGTGCTTCAGGTTTTTGCGGTTCCCAAAGGCACTGAAGCACTCGGGCCGAAAGTGCTCGGAGCAGATGACCGAGTGCTGCTTGGGCTGGAAGTCGGCCCGGCCGATGTTCAGCACCCATTCCTTGAGCAGCTCAGGCCGGCTGAACGGGAACCTGGATGCAGAAGGAACAGATCTAGGTCTGCTGGACCCTGCACCTTGCAGGTCGCCCCGCCACAGCCTCGGGGGCTGCACAGGACGGGACAGCTTTGGAAAGCCCAGAATCTCACTGTGGGGGCAAACGCCTCATTTCTGGAAGCTTCTGTCATGGCTGTGATGGCGTCCTTTTTTTTTTCTTAGCTTCTAGCTATGCAGTTCCAGGCCTTGAACTCACTGTGTAGCCCATACTGGCTTCAAGTTCCTAGGGATCCACCTGCCTCAGCCTCCTGAGTGCTGAGTTTACAGGTGTGCACCACCACACCCAGCTTTTTTCTTTTTTCTTTTTGATGGCATCTGTAGGAATCTAAGTTTCCCAAGCAACCCATGCCCAGAGGCGCTCCCCCACTCTGCAGGAGCTGTGGGCCAGGCCCTGATCTCAGGCAAGGGACCCAGGAGTGCGCTCCAGAGAGGAGGGACCCAGGATGGAACAAACAGATGGAGACCCCAGGGCAGAGACCACAGAGGGCGCACAGCAGGGAGTACTGGGGCAGTCAGGGGCAGCCACCCACAGAGACGACTTATTTCACAGGGCTGGGGTGGAACCCAGGTCCTGGAGCATGCCGGGCATGTGCTCTAGCTCTCAGCCATACTCTCAGCACTTCCTCACTGTTTTGAGACAGACTGACCATGTTCCCCAGGCAGGACTTGAATTTGCAATCCTCCTGCCTCAGCCTCCTGGGTAGCTGGACTAAACATGCACCTCTAAGGTGACATTTGAGGGAAGAAAGTGTTCACATGGGAAAAGGGACCAGGGAGGGGGTTGGGGAAAAGGAAGGAAGAAAGGAACAAGGAAAAAAGTGAGAAGGGAAAAATGGAAACAAAGCTTTTGAATGTGGGGGAAAACTGGGAGGGGGAAATGGGAAAAAGGCAGTTGAATTCCCTACGAGTGTTATCGTTCTGTCTAAAGTGCAGATAAAGGTTTGGCTAAAACCAAAAAAAACAAAGAGGCACCTTTTGAGCAGACCCTGCAGGAAGTGGGAGAGCCAGTTGGGGCGCAGAGCTGACAGCAGGAGTCCAGATGCAGTGGTTCAGATGCCTCCAACAGGGAGCAAGGGCCAGGACCACCTGACTCAGGGCCTCCAGCCAATCTGAGAACCCCGCGGTGAGGTTCACCTGTGGGCTATGCAGCCAGGACAGAAGGAAGCCGTTTCCTGCTCACACAGCAGCCCACACTTGTCCTAGCACTCAGGAGGCTGAGGCAGGAGGATTGCCTGGAGTTGAAGACCAGCCTGGGCTACATAGTGTGTTCAAGGCCACCCTGAACTACACAGCAAGACCCTGTATTGAAAACAAAAGGAGGGAGCTTCTTGTCCAGAAGGACTTGGGTTGTAGTTTCCTGTTTGGGCAATCTGGAGTTTGTTTCATGTGTTAGGAATGAAATTCGAAACACTTTGGATTGTCCCTGTGCTGAGAGGTGGCAGGGGGCCTAGTGCCTGCAGAACCCATGAGCCTGGGGGAGACTGGGGCCTAGGAGCCAGCAAAGATGGGGAGCCCCACTGAGCTGTGCCCCACACCAGCACCCGAACACTGCACTCTGGGAGGCTGAGGCAGGAGAATGGCAAGCTCAAGCCAGCCTGGGAAGCTTAGTGACTTAGAGAGACTGTCTCAAGATAACAAAATGTCAAAAGAGATGTGAAGGCCGAGTACAATCTCTAGAACCAGAGGTTTAAAAATTTGAAAAGCAAAAGGGAGAATCCCTCAAAAGGAGGCTGAGGGAAGCCAGGCGTGGTGGCGCATGCCTCTAATCCCAGCACTCGGGAGGCTGAGTCAGGAGGATCGCTGTGAGTTCGAGACCAGCCTGGGCCACACAGTGAGTTCCAGGTCAATCTCAACTGGGGGCTGAGAAGGGACATAGAGGACAGAGGACCATGATGCATCCTGGGAGGCATGCGCAACAAGATCAGCTGGCTCAAATGCTGAACACATTGGTACCCAGCTGTATTCCTAGCATTTTGGGAGGCTGAAGCAGGAGGATCACAAGCTCAAGTCCTGCCTGGGCAACTCTGAGAGACCCTATCTCAAATTTTTAAAAACACACTGCCAGGGATTTAGCTCAATGGTTAGGACCATGATGCATCCTGGGAGGCATGCGCAACAAGATCAGCTGGCTCAAATGCTGAACACATTGGTACCCAGCTGTATTCCTAGCATTTTGGGAGGCTGAAGCAGGAGGATCACAAGCTCAAGTCCTGCCTGGGCAACTCTGAGAGACCCTATCTCAAATTTTTAAAAACACACTGCCAGGGATTTAGCTCAATGGTTCCGCCGCCTGCCTCACAAGCACAAGGACCCAAGTTCGATCCCTTTTTTTTTTTAATATAGTAAAAAGGCGCTGGGAGATGGCTCCGCCACAGAGCACCTGTGGGTGTGATCTCCAGCACCGGGAAAGAACCGGATGGGGTAACACGACTAGTGGACTTCCCTCCATAAGGGTCACTGGGCACAGATGGAAGTGGTCCCTCCCACCCATGCATATGCTAACGGCAGAGACACATGCTCTGGGAGACAGGTTCTTACAAACTGCCCTCAGCAGTGTTCACCTCGACATTGCTACCAACGTTCCTTTCAACTGTAGACCAAATAAATTTTGGTAGATGCGTTTGTGGAAGACTATGCAGCCCTGAAAAGGAATGCCGGAGGCAAGGAAGGCCTCTCACAAACGCAAGGGGGAGCCAAGGACAGAAAGCACGCGATCCCCTCTGGATCCCTGTGGGCGGTGGGAAAGCAGGGACAAGGGGTGCAGGCTGCGGGTCTCCCGGAGGCTGCGGATGTGCTGCGGATGTTCTCCTGCAGCGTGCACTTTTCCGCGTGGAGGTTTTGACTGCCGAAGGAGCATTAAAAAGGGCACTGCGGGGGCGAGGCGCCGGCCGCCTGCCCTCGGGCGCTGCGCCCTGCAG